GACGCGTTACGGATAGGCCGTGAGGAGGGGGTTGGGTGCCTGCGGGCGCTCAGCTGCGTCTTATTTCAGTAGAATAAGCAAGCTTTTTTCTTTAAGTAAGTATTAAAGCATTTCCTGTTTTGGTGAAAGAAAAATTCTCAGGTACTGAGAATTAGGGTGCAAGCTCCATTCAGCACCGTTTTTTTCTGTTTTTTTTCTTGCTTTTTCACTCTCCTGTTTTGGCCCTCTGCTATACTCACGTCATGTTTCAGCTACCATTTCTGTAGTATGGTCTGCCTTCTTAACATTGTTTGATAGTGGTTATTTTAAATAATAAACTATGCAGGCATATAGTGCTGAGGAATTAGGCCTGTCAATGTTAATTGGTCTTTAACTAATTAAAAAAATTTCTGCTAGTGGTTTGCCTGTATGCCTTTGCCAGATTAATTTAGACTATAGTGTTACTTAAATTATTTTTTTCTGTAGAGTTTTGAGGATCATTTGAGGAACACTTATTTTGCTTTAAGTGATTTTCCATCTTTTGTGTTTATATTGGGTTTTTTTTTCTTACTTCAAAGTGTGCCCCTTGAGGCTTTCATGAAAGTACTGACTTTTATGATCACAGTCTGCTGACAGACTTCCTGTTACATTTTTCGATTTCTTTTGAATAAACTGTCAAATGGTGGTGAAAAACACAACAATGCCATGGTAATGCCATGACTTGCTGCTCTACAGGTGCACAAGCGTGCAAGAATTCTTTAAGGCCTTTTAGCAATAATTAAAAAAAAAAAACAAATACCTGCACTATAGAAATCTGCTACTTTTTTGTTTTGCATTATGCTGCATGCTGTTAAGACAGAACAAGAAAGATTTTAGCAACACTTTTAAAGTTATTAGGGGACTGTCCCCAGTTTAAGAGCTGTCCCTGCTTCCCAGATGTGTATCATACTTTCATGAACTTGCAACTTTTCCCTGCAGCATATATACAGTACATTTTTTCATAATGTATTGTTTTTGAAATCTTACAGGACTACACAATGCAAAACACATTTTCCTAAGAGTCTCTTAACAGTAATTTCCCAGTTTTCATTAGTGCACACAGGAGACACTGTAAGTGATGTGCCCATTCTAAATATCTGCAATGTTATGCTTTCAGATCACCTGAGTAAAATATGAATACTTGAAATGGTTGTATTTGGTAGGTATAAAGTCTCTGGAATGACTTTTTGTTATGCGTGGTAAAAAGAGAATACTGATAAGTCTGGCCAGGCATTCCTTTCAATTTCTCCAGGAATCAAAGCATAGTCTCCTTTCCTGTGACAGCTAATAGGCTTCTTTTGTTAGAAGGTGTGGATGCATCTTTGATAGCATTTTAATTTAGATCAGAAGTGAGCTTTTGAAGTGAATATCCTGAATCTTCCCATTTAACCATGCTTTGGTGTATACCGCAGAGCAGTCTCACAGTCCTGGGTTCCTTGCAGGGGAATGAAGTCAGAAGGGTGCACTTCAGCTGCTAATGGGTATTCAATCCCCAGGACCAGATTAGTGCTAGTCAGATTTAAAAACTCCTGAAATGTGTAACATGAATGCCACAATCTTAGCATCAAATGCTTCTCTGTATTGATTTGCTCCTGTGGTGCTGCACTGTTTACTGATGTAGACATTGCCTGCATCACAACCAGACCTGGGAGATGTGTGTGCAGCTTCATCTAAGGAACAAGGATGGCATGATTTTTTTACTCTGTTCCAAACTGGAGAAACAAGATGCGGCTTCCCTGGAAAACACGAACAATCCTATGTTTAGACATGGCCTTTTCTGAGGCTTTAGGGCCTGTCATTTGTACCATATTTTGGAGACCACAGTCAAAGAGACAATTTTTAAAATGAGTAAATTTCTCTAAAGAGAAATTCAGAAGAATAAAGTGGTGATCTCTACTATGAGGGCTTCTTTCGGGCAGAAAAATGGGAATTGCCATAAAGAATTGACCTTTGCCACTGAGAAAAATATAAAGAAGTAAAGAAGCAAGTTGTACAAAGGAGAATGTTATTGCAGGGTCATGGAATATTTTTAGCATAGGTATTTTCAGAAATACAAAGGGCTACAACACTTTATTCTTCTTTGCTCACTTTTTCATGAGTCCGTCTAAAAATAATGGGGCCACACCTTAATTTCAATGTGTGATGAGAATTTTTGCAGCCAAACATTCTTGATTTTGTTGGAGAATTCTTTTCTAATATAAATACTGTTGATTATTTAACCCTAAGGAAGAAGCTATTTTCCATTCAAAATCAGCACCATGTGCGTCCCTACACAGGCTAAAACACAACATGTCTGGGTTAACCTTTTAGGTAGAATAAGAATGTGCTGCACTTGGACCTTTTGAAACTAGTATCTGGAGATGAAAGCTCTCAAGTGCTTCACGTTGTGTATCTAGTAATTGTCTCAGATGTATTTCATTTGGGGAATTTTACCAGTACCCATGTATCTAATTAAATGAGCCACACATTATAATTGACAATACCCTAATGTCATTTTTTTAACCTCAGTGAGTAATAAAATATGCTTTCCCTGATGATATTACTACAGCTGCTACAGATCGCATATGGGAAGATGTTGTACCTTTTTCAGACAAAGGTACAAACAATTCCCTTGGAATCTTCAGGCTGCAATAGATTATGAAAAAAGTTCTATCAGAAGTATTGTCAGGAGAAGCTGATAGGTAGGTAGAAGGAGTGTTCAAGGGGCTAAGCACTAATGGTGAAAATATTTATGAAGAAGCATTAACAGTTTGTGGGTTTCCTTTGTGTGCAGAGGAATCTGAAGGTTTTCTATAATTTCATTTTTAAAAAATATTTATAAACTTGTTTAGAACTCCTATCATTCACTATTTATAATCTCTACTATATGTTACCCAAATCAAGCTTCCTGTAGCATATGAAACTCATCTATGGTGTTGGTGGAAACCATTGTAGAAGGAAAAACATAAGGAACGTAGTAGTATTTTTTTTTTTTTTTGCCTTAATTTAACGTAATTTGTTACCATCTATTCCCGTATTCCTTGACGCTTATGCTATCACCTTAGTATTGATGGATGAAATGTTGGCTTTATTTGATCTGAAAGAAGAGTGAAAGGAAAAATTTTCAGTTTATGTAATCAG